GTCTGTCTCTGGTTAGCCTCCAGCAAGGTTACTGGTGTGCTTCTGGCCACTGGAGGGCTCTGGTTTTATTTCATAAAATATTTCATATTTTCTCATTCTACGAGAGAATGATACTAAAAATTACCAGTGCCGTGGGCCAAAAGGAGGGTCTGAACTCCTGCAGAGGCCTCATGCCTTATCCTGATACTTGGGCATGAAAGTTGAAAATGGGATGTCCAGCTTGCTTCATCATTAATAACCAAGAATCTGGGACACTTGCTTGCAATTATTTGGGTTATTACAATGATTTTCTCAGCCTCCTGAGGTCTGTCTCTGTGCCAGTGCAGCAAAAATGTGCTCACAAAATCTGTTTGTATGAGAAGGAGCACTGTCACTGGAGAACAGAGGCAGGGGTGTGTGTGGAGGGAGAAGCAAAGGGAGATCCACACCACTTCTAGGAGTCATTTTTATCAAGGGCTCATCAGGGGTAGGAAGAAGGGGAAACCCTAGGTTGTACCTACTTGGATTTGCTAAAATTGTGCCTTTTCCCTCTTCCCCCCTTATTGAGAGACCAGTGCGGCACAGAAACACCTCAGAGAAGGAGCTTTCATTCATTGCAGAGCACTACACTGCATTCATTATGTGTCCTTGAAGGAACCTCAGATTTTGGAGCTGACCCTGAGCTTTCGCATCAGGAAAGCTTGGTTGTTTTTATTTTTGGTGGTTTTTTTGGCCTTCCTCAGCTCTAGTCCTATTTTTAGAGCCTGTCGTTTTCTCAGGGGCTTCACAGTCTATTTTTAAAAAGACTTTGCAGGCTGCCAAACCACTGTTATTCTCTCTAGGGTGATGTTAACACAGTGCCTATAGTAAACGTGCCTGGCATTTACCATAGGTGATGCTTTAGAACAGATAAACATTAATGTTGAGGGTGAAAAATGCTTTTGCAAGCAGAGCCCCACTGTGAAGTGTTTCATTTCCACAGAGCATCCTTTTGCTTGCATTGTGGCTTTCCCCTTTTCTGAAACACTGATGGTCTGACCATCAAATTGCTCACTGCTGCATGAACAGTGATAATGTTCTGTACATTATTAGATCATCTAGAGTGTCTGTAAATCAGGTTTGGCCCAAGTCTTGCAGCATGTCTAATGTTTTTACAAAGTTTTTTTTTTTTTTCCCCTTGCCATTATATTGGGAATAAATTTAACAGCCCAGCTCTGAAAGAAACATGGGGAAAAGTTTAAAGGGCTTAAAATATGAACAGCAGCAAATATTGTTAATAATCATCATGGTGGCATCAATTTTGGTGGAATTTCTCTAATGAATCCAGCATAATCACAGCTTCTTTTTACCTTTGGGGAGAGGAAAAAAAAAAAAAAAGGAAAAGTTCAGGAGCAGTTATGTAAAGATGTGGGAGCAGATGTACTGCTGGTGTAAGCTGGCACTGCTCCACTCATGTCAGTCAAAGTAGTTGATGTGGGGGAACATTTGTCTGCAAGGAAAGCAAGATTTATCACTGAGCTCTGGTGGCTCCATAGAAATCACAGAATGGCCTGGCTTGGAAGGGACATCCAGGATCATGTGGCTCAAACCCCCTGCCATGGGCCCATCCACATCCCAGGTTGCTCAGAGCCCCATCCAGCCTGGTCTGGAGCACTGCCAGGGATGGGACAGCCACAGCTTCCCTGGGCAACCTGTGCCAGGGCCTCTCCACCCTCAGAGGATGATCACACATCAGTTGAATGTAGTATTTGCCCATGTCATGCTCTGATCCCCTCACAAATGTGAGGGATGATGTCTGAATTTAATCTTTTCATGGATGCTTAAGCCAATGTCTCTTTTATACTTCCTACTGTAGACAACACTGCCCAAGAGGACAATTCCTGCCCTTCAACCACATGGATTTGTTCCTTGGCCTGTACTAGGTCAGCTGTGCCTTTGAACATTGATTTTACAGACCATGGACACATGTGGAGCACCTCCTCCATCAGCCACTTGTGTGAATGTCATGGCAAGACTGAGCAAAAGTCTCTGTGGGAGGTGGTGAGCCACCCTTCTGCAGAATCACAAAGGTATAGAAACTTAAACTCCCTTGTTTCAGTAAAACTTGAGATTGTAAATACTTTTGCACCTTTGAACCCTGAGTGCTGGTCAAGGAAATAATGCAGTATACAGGAATGACTCTTTGTGCTGTTCTTGCTCTGAGTCCATTCCCTGAACCCAGGAAATGTCCAGAAGCTTCACAAATTGGTGGAATTTATTTCAGATACAAACCTCCAAGGGATTTCTCTTCCATGAGTTTGACCAGCTGAACGCTTGTAAACAGCTACCATTCACAGTATCCTGCAGCAAGGAGTCCAAGGCCAGGTTGGATGGGGCTCTGAGCAACCTGGGATAGTGGAAGGTGTCCCTGCCCATGGCAAGGGATTTGGAAATGGATGATCTCTAAGGTCCCTTCCCACCCAGCCATTCTGTGATTTCATGATTCCTATCCCTCCTGTCCCAGCCCTTCAACTCCCATCAGATTTTCAAATTCGTACAAGCCACTCCTTGGGGACAGCAGGGCTCCAAACTGCTGATACCCAGTTTGCAGTGGAAGTACAGCAGTGACCTGGAGCTGCTGACTGAGCCCTCCCAGAGTCACTGCCTGTCAGATGAACCTGCCCCCTTGTTTGGTGCCTTCTCACTCATGTCTTGATCTCAAAGGGGTGCTCAGGGCTCTAAATTTCCCAGCATCCAGTTCTGGTTCTCAAAAGGCCCATCTCAAGTTCACCAGGAGACCTTTGAACTTTTGTGAATCTAACCTGAGACTCACATTTGTAACCAAACCAAAGGAGTTTTGCTTAGGCTTGCATTTCATTGCAGGTGCCTCACACTCTTCTTACATTTCATGCCACTGGACAAAGAGCAACCATTTGGAAACCCCCAGGAAAACTGCCTGACTTCAAGTTCTGTTGGTAGCAGCCCCCATGCTCTGAGAAGGCACCAGTTCTGCTTCGTGCTGCTGGCAGCTGAGCTGGTTGGCTGCCTCTGAAGGTACAACTGCCATGGCAGATGGCTGGGAGGTTAGCAGGGAATTTATTCAGAACTCTGCATAAATGAGGCTGCCTTCCCTCGAACAGAATGGCAGCCAAGAGCATGCTCACATCCCCCCCACAGCGGCACAGTGACATCCAGGAGCTGCATGGTGACCCAGGAGTGGAGGAGACAGCCTGTCTGTCACACACCAGTTCCTCGGCACTGCTCTAGCCCAAAGTCTGTGGCAGCTCAGCCGGGCTGTGGGCTCCGTCTGCATCTCCGAGCAGCAGAGGTGGTCCAGCAAGAGCTGAACCCACTCTGTTCATGGGGGAATGGAGCAGAGCTTCCATCTTGGGGACATCCTTTCAGACACCCTTTGTGACCCGCGCCCAGTCAGCAGCTCCAGGTCACTGCTGTACTTCCACTGCAAACTGGGTATCAGCAGTTTGGAGCCCTGCTGTCCCCAAGGAGTGGCTTGTACAAATCTGAAAATCTGATGGGAGTTGAAGGATTGGGACAGGAGGGCTAGGAATCATAAAATTATAGAATGGCTGGGTGGGAAGGGACCTTAGAGATCATCCATTTCTAAATCGCCTACCTTGTGCAGGGACACTTTCCACTAGACCAGAGCCCCATCCACCTTGGCCTTCGACACTTCCAGGGATGGGGCAGCCACAGCTTCTCCGGGCAACCTGTGCCAGGGCCTCACCACCTTCACAGGGAACAATTTTTTCTTACTGTCTAATCTAAACCTATCCTCTCTCATTTTGAAGTCATTCCCCCTGCTCTGTCACTCCAGGCCTTGTAAAGAGTCTCTCTCCATCTTTCCTGCAGGCTCCCTTCAGGCACTGGAAGGCCACACTGAGGTCACCCCAAAGCCTTCTCTTCTCCAGGCAGAGCACTCCCAATTCCCTCAACCTTTCCTCCCAGCAGAGCTGCTCCATCCCTCTGATCCCCTTGGTGTCCCTGCTCTGGCCTGGCTCCAGAAGCTCCCTGTCTTTCCTGTGCTGGGGCCAGGGCTGGATGCAGTGCTGAAGGTGGGGTCTCACCTGAGCGAGGCAGAGGGGCAGAATCCCCCCCTCCCCTCCCCTCCTGCCCACACTGGGGGTTCAGCCCAGCACAGGGTGGTCCTGGGTCCCAGCACACAGAGCTGGGACAGGGCCAGTTCTCACCCACCAGCATCCCCAAGTCCCTTCTGGCAAAAATTCCCTCTATTTTCCTCGGGAATAATGAAGTGTTAGATGCTGGTGTTGCAGTGAAGATGGCTGAATAGAAGGAAAGCTGCAAACCCTCAAGAGGTTTCCCCTTCAGTGCCTGTTTTTAAGAGTTAAGCATCTGCACCATGAGCTGAAGCAGATGTGAAAGGCCCTTGGTCAGAGTCTGTGAGTGCTTGCAAAGATACCCACAGGTAATGGGATTTGAGCTGCCAGTTCCTTGACTTCTCCCTCTGCCCCTAGAGTAGCTGCATTAATTTTCATCTTTAAACATTGCTGCTATGCAAAAAATCCCCACTGATGTTACCACCTCTGAGTCATGCCAGCATATTTGTGTGCCGGTATATTTTAGGAGCAAAGCTGCTGGAGTTCAGTAAGTGTAAAGCAGGACTTGATAAGCAAGGTAGTGGTAGTAGCAGGGTATTTAGATAAGGGAAAGGAGGTGTAGTGTGCTGTCGGTAAGTACTTGGGACCTTGCGGTATTGATCCCAAATAAGTTTGGCCCAGGCTGTCTCTCAGTCCCTGGATTTTCTGCAGGTTAAATTCCTTTCCTCAAGCTTGGAGGACATATCAGTGTTATCAGCCTGAGAGATCACAGAATATAGAATTGTAGAACCTCCTGAGCTGGAGGGGACCCACAAGGCTCACCAAGGCCAGCCCTTAGCCCTGCACAGCACAGCCCCAAGAAGGTATGCTGTCCTTTGCTTCAGATATGTTCTTACCACTACAGGCACTTGAAGACCTTATCTGCTAAGTGATAAGACTCATGTATCACGTGTCTTCTCCCTTCAGGCTGTTGCACAATTAATGACCACCAATATGGGATTAAAGCAGTGTTGAATCATCCAGCAGGACCACTGGAAAGAAGGTATGGATGTTCCTCACATTTCTACTGCACTGTTGATAGCAGATGTGGGAGCTGCTCACCACAGCTGCAGGAAGAACAGCACCTGCTCTGAAATAAAGCCTGGTGGGACAGAGTTATTCTTGTACATTTGGGGCTGCATTTGAATGGACACTATGTGCTTTTGCTCTATGTCTGTGTCATATTTGCTTTGGCAACAGAAGTCCTCAAAAGAATTTGCAGTGTCCCTTCATGGGGTGTAGACTCTTGCTGTGTCCTATTCCTGTGCCTGTACCACAATGGGTGTGTAACCATGATCTGAAGTGTAGGTGGAAACTTGTGAGGCATCGCTGGACCTGTAGTGCCCTGGAGTTGTGCTGGACTATGCAAACATAGCTCCCCAACTCCCTAGCTGCTTTATTCCAAAGAAATGGTCATCACAGAATCATAGAATGGTCTGGGTCGAAAGGCTTTAAAGTTCACCTCGTTCCACCCCCCTCCATGGACAGAGACACCTCCCACTAGCCCAGATTGCTCAGAGCCCCATCTTTGATCCCAGTGATCAGATCAGTGCTCTGCCTTTTCAGTCCTTTCCCAGAAATTCACCTGCTCCCCTGAAATATAGGAGAGAAACCCTTCATTCAGTGTCTATCCCTGAAACACAGGAGAGAAGCCCTTCATTCAGTGTCTGTCCCTGAAATACAGGAGAAAAGCCTTTCATTCAGTCTCCATCCCTGAAATACAGGAGAGCAGGCTTTCATTCAGTCTCTAATCGAGCTCCTTGCTCAGATCCACGTGCAGACAAGCCCTGCTTGTCAGGCTGTGGTTTCTGAGTTGCTGGTCTGCGGAGCCCTTGCTGCTGTTCCAGGGGAATTGGCTGGCTTCAAGGTGACAGGTTACCGCTTTGCTTCCAGCTGCTAGAAGCTAAAGAATGGCAAGAAGCTAAAAATACCTCTGAGCCAACACCTAATGTCACTTCTCCTCACGAGGGGTTTCTGCAGTTGCCACGGGGATCTTAAGCAATTGCACAGGGGAGGGGATAAATCTCTTTATTTTTGTGAATAGAGGGGGAGGTGCCCAGGAGAAAAATCCCTCTATGAAAAAGCTGTGCAGCCACGTGCTTTGATGCCTGGATTGAAAAAGCTAAATGTCCACGGATTTAGACCAGCCAATGGTGTGTGAGTGCTATATTTGGAAAGCACAGTGCAGAATTATGGCACATGCATCACATGTGAATTGGAAAAGTGCAAGCTATTTTTGGAGCCTGTTTGCATATGTGCTGAGTCAAGGTTTGCACTGAGAGCAAGACTGCACCTAGCATCTCTTAAATCTACTTTAGCAAGGTTATTAGTTTTCAAACAAGCTCTGGGTCCCATAAAAATCCTTTCTCCCTCTGATTTTATTAGCATCTCAGCATTGCAAGAGATTAATTAGGAAAGACAAAAAATTAAGTGCAAAAGGGGAAGCACAAGGAAAGGGGAAGCAATTTAGAGTTGGAGGGGGATGGGTTCTGAAAAGGTATTACCTAATTAAGTACAGAAAGATCAGAACACCATAAAAATATGGGAAGGCAGAAGGGGCTCGTAAAGAAGGTGAGAAATGTACACCTTGTGCTATTATTGCTGAAGGAAGCCTATTTACAGGGAGCAACCCCTAGGGAAAACTGGAATTAGGGAAAGAAATTGAAACAGCATTGCATGAATTACAGCCAGACCTTGTGCTAGCTTGAAAACAAACCAATGAGAGATCCCAAGTCAGAACTGAAAGCCTGTTGGTCAGGGTGGCAGTAGCAGTCCCATTTAATGGTGTCTGCAGTCCTCTTGAAGTGATAGATGTGGTTCTGCTGAAGCAGTGATCCTGTAGAAGGGTTGGGTCTTCCTCTGAAGGTCCGGTGGAGGTTATATAGCTCTTGTCCTCTGGGAATGCAGTGGATCAGTCTGCCTGTGCCATTCCAAGCCTCAGATTACATCCAGGTAGGAATGCTTGGCTCCTCCCCCTGGGCAGAGTATCTCACAATGGGATGATGTAGTTTTATCAGTCATGCAGTGAGACTCGATGGCCCATTAACAGAAGAAAACCCCTGGAGTTATCAGGGATGAGTCATGAAGGAGATAAGGAACATTGCCCCACCTCCTTTAATAGCTTCTGAAGATGGTGTCAGAATACATACTTTTGGTTACATCTTACACTGTAACCTAAAACAGCCCTGGATTTGGGGGCAGGGAGGGAAAGCCCCTAGCTTGCATGGCAAGGGATGCCAGATGAGGATAACACAAAACTGACTGGCTGGGGATGGTCTCAGTGGGGGCACTCTGTTCCCAGAGGACACAGCCTTTTGCAGTGCCTTCCAGAGCAGTGCTGGCTGTCCTCACAGATGATGGACACTCAGACATAGTTCCCTGTACTGCCAGAGGTGTTGCCTTAGCAAGGGATTTTTCTTATCAACTGTTTTCAGGAGGCAAAGGTCTCAAAGATAGGAGACAATTAGACTGCTGTGGTCACTGGGGAGAACTTGAGGTTCAACCAGGCCAAGTTCTGGATCCTACACTTTGCCCCAACAGCTTCCTGCAGTCCTCCAGTCTGGGGAAGAATGGTTGGAAAGGGAAAGGGCCTGGAGGTGCTGGCGACAGTGGCTGAATGTGAAGCAACATGTGGGCAAGAAGGCCAATGGCACCCAGCTGGGATCAGCAGTGATGTGGCCAGCAGGATCAGAGCAGTGATTGTCCCCCTGTACTGGGCACTGGTGAGGCCACACCTCAAATCTTGTGCCCAGTTCTGCACCTGTCACTGTAAGATGGACATTGAGGGGCTGGAGTGTGTCCAGAGAAGGGAACGGAACTGGGGAAGGGTCTGGAACACAAGTCCTATGAGGAGCAGATGAAGGAGCTGGGAAAGGGTGTCAGCCTGGAAAAAAGGAGGCTCAGGGGGGATGTTCTGGCTCTGCACACCTCCCTGACAGGAGGGGACAGCCAGGTGTTCCCAGGGAACAAGGGAAAGGATGAGAGGAAACAGCCTCAGGCTGCACCAGGGGAGGTTCAGATTGGACATTAGGAAGAATTTCTTTACTGAAAGGGTGATTAAATATTGCAAGGGGCTGTCCAGGGTCATAATGGAGTCCCCATCCTCAGAAGTGTTTAAGGAAAGACTGGACGTGGCACTGGGTATCATGGTCTGATGTTTGGTCACAGGTTGGACTTCATGATCTCAGAGGTCTTTTCCAACTAGAATGATTCTGTGATTCAGGTGTTCTCCTGTGCCGCAGTTTGCCTTCTGCTGGTGGGAAGCACCAGCCCAAATCTGCAGAGTGGGTTAGAGTGGGGCAGATGGGAGGCTCTGTCCATCCAGGTGTGGCACTAGAGAACTTTCTTGGTCTGGTGTGTACAGAAGTAGGCTTGCAGGCACAGAGAACACAGTGCTGGCAAAGCAGCAGGCCCACCAAGCAGACAGGAAGGGAGCAGGAAGGTGCCTGGGAGCTCTGGGAGAACAGGAAAGTGTTTTTAAACTACATGAGATGGGAAGCACAGCAACAGCAACCTGAGCATTGGCTTGTTGGTGGAGGTCCAGATGAGGTCCAGAGCAGAAACATTCTCTATTGTTCACACCAAGCGCAGTCCTGCAGAGTTTGTAGGATATTTTAAAGCCCTTAAAGTCCTGGTGAGGCTGGCTGTAGAAATTGACCCCAGGGGAAAGAGGAAAAGGGAGCAGCAGTACCTGGACACAAATAAACATCCCTGTTATGTTGATAATACCATGTCATGCAGCAGGACACGGGGAAGAGGTGGGATGCATGCTGATCTCTCTAGGGGAGTACTCTTGACTCAATTTATGATTTCAGTTCCTAGAGACACAGATATCAACATCAGATCTGACGCACACCTATAAACAGGGTAATGAGCAATGACAAGCAGCTGATGGCACTTGGTCTGTTCAGCTGGAGAAGAGGAGATTGAGGTCACCCCTGGCACACTGCCTTCTATGTTTGCCCTCCTGGAGGCTTTAATCCTGATAAAACCAGACCTACGTGGTCCTTTCTGTGCCCTTATCTGTCTAAGTACATGTGGTTCAGAAGAGTTTGACAAAATGATACCTGTTCTATTTGTCCTCTTTCAGTCAGAGAAAATAAAAACTGAAATCAACTCTAGTGAAGAAAAAAAAAGTTTGAAATACACATGGGGTTTCAAGTCCTTGTCTTGAAAGTGAGCCTGAGAATGCGTTAAAATAAGAATAAAAATGCAAATGTTGATGTAATGTCCCAATTTGGAAAGCAGACACAAGCCAAAAAAATGCCAACATGACAATACCCACAAAACAAATCAAATCAAATTTCCCTCCAGTTTCCAGCTTGAACAAGGATCCAAAATCTGAGGAGAGGCAGAGGAAAATTGTGCAGGACCCCACTTTTAAGCTGGTCTATTACATTTTTTTTTTTTTTTACACCATTTTATTCTTCATATAACCAGATAATAGAAAACAGCACTTTTCCAGATCTTAGTTTGGAGTGGTTTCCAGCTAAAACCACTTAGGTTCATCACCTTCCTTTCTGCAACTGTAGATCCCCAGCCTGAGAGGTGAGCTTGAGTCTAAGCATGACTTGGACCTGCTGGAAATCTGAGTGCTGATTTCACTCAATACTCAGATCCCATCCTGGAACTTTGATGAACCCAACCTGAGATTCGTGCTGGTAATCAAACCTAAGCAGAGATCAGTTTTGCCTGGGTTTTAGTTTCAAGTAAGAAGGCACCCACCTTCCTACCTGTCTTCACCTTGACCAGGCTGTGGGATGGCTGGCTATCTCCTTGCGTATCATTAGCTTTTTGGGATATATGATCAGCCCCCTTCTCCTGCAATTTGTCACCCACCCATTTGTGCTACATTGTCATAAAATCAGCTTGTTCTCAGTTAGTGTTCCCTGCAGTTGACATGGCCACGGAATCACAGGATATCCTGAGTTGGAAAGGACCCACAAGGATCATTGAGTCCAACTCCTGACCCTGCACAGACACCTCAACAATCCCACCCTGTGC